TGAACAAGTGGATAGGAATGAATTTTTTTAGATTTTTTAAGTTTTTTAGTGCTTGCCTATAATACAAAACATTGACAGTTAAGGGCCATAATTCAAATAAAATCTTTGACAGAATTACCTTCTCCTGGACATGTTTGGGAATCATGATTGTAAACAAGTATTCCAACTTTCAAATTAATATCTCAAACAGTTCAGTCAAAAAGTGGACTGGTACTAAAAACTTAACCAAGATTCTAAGTCGATAAAAGGCCTTAATTTTTTAAAACAAATCCTTGACAGAGTTACCTTCTCTTGCGTACAGATGGGGGTAATGATGTGAAATAGCATTAAAAGTTTCAAAGCAATATCTCAAAGGGTTAAGGCAATAAGTGGATTTTACCCATATTCAATGTATTTTCTAAGTCAAAAAGGGGCATAATTCTGTCAAAAACCTTGACAGAGTTATGTCCTCTTGTCTGTTGATGAAGGTCGTGATGGTAAACAAGTATGGTCAGTTTCAAAGCAATACCTCCAATGGTTTTGAAATAAAGTGAGGTGGTACAAAAAACTTAACCAAGCTCAATACACTTTCTAAGTCAAAAAAGGGCCATAATTCTGTCAAAAACCTTGACAGAGTTATGTACTCTTGTCTGTAGATGGAGGTTATGATGGTGAACAAGTATGGTAAGTTTCAAAGCCATACTTGTAATACTTCTGAAATAAAGTGGGGTGGTACGAAAAACTTAACCAAGGTGTGACGCCAACGCTAACGCCGACGCCGGGGCGAGTAGGATAGCTCCCCTTTTCATAGAAAAGTCGAGCTAAAAAGTGCTAAATGAAAATATAAGTTTTCATAATTAGGAAAGTAATTCAACGTCCTATGCGAGAAAAAAGATCTAAATATTGCAGATTTCTTCTTGAAATGATAATTATACTATGTTCATCTTTGGGTAAAATATTTTTATTTCAGAAATATATTTAGCTCTAGTACATCCTCAATAAAAATTATGTCCAATTCGAATAAGTAAATGTATAATTGGGAAGCTGCATTTCTTATGACTTGTTAAATTTATTTGGTCTATTCTTATAAAAACTGCCAGTATTTTTTTGACACTATGTAATCATACTGTGATTACCTGTAGGTGTAGCGATTAAAACGTAACATATTTTCTCTGTGTATATTCAAATGATGCTCATTTACAGTTCAAAAGAGACTATAATTATAGTAATTATCTTTTTTTTTTCAAATATCAACTTTGAGCATAATATATCTTCAAATCTGTTTATAAGAGATCATAAATAATATGATATCTTTCTCTTCGCCCCCCTAGCACAGGCTTTATCAACTACTAGTTTAGATTTCATTCTTCAACATTTAAAATATTAGAATTAATGAACATGATTGAAGAAACAAGAAAATTAACAACATTAACATTACATGCACATGTACAACACAATAAAGTAACAAAAATGAGTCAAAGTCACTTGATAAGAACATGTATCAAATGCTTGATGAAAGGTAAAGTACATGTATGGAATGTCGATATTTTCAAATAGTATCTCTTGCTATATATTTGTTTCTCTTAAAGAAACATTAAGCTTCGGAAATAAATATATTTTTATAAAATAAATATATATTTTTTACTTTCTTTAGAAAGGGCAAACATGTGTATTATAAACATTGTAATTATGAATTTGGAAACATTTTAGATGCTTATCGATTGCATAAATTCCTTTTCCTTTTTATTTCCCTTAGCTCATTCAGATGCTTTTAAACTTAAAACTCTGACCTTTAACCTTAATGATTAAATTACCGGGCACCTGAACACTTACTGAACATTGTGAATTTTTCATATGACACACTAAGAATTATAATCATTTTCTTAATAATTCACAACAATTAATTTTATCACTTCTATTGTAACAAAATCATCATTCTACATAGGTAAAGTTTGTAGATCTTTTTGTCAAGAAAACATAAAAATCTAAATCAATAACTGTCATTTTGCACATCAAGTTACATGTATTAAACTAAAAGAAAAATTCACACATTTATAGATAAGCTTCTAATTTAGTCAATTAAGAATACATGTACTCCAAAATAAAACTAAAATAATTCATTATGTTGAAGCATTCATATTTACAATGGTCTGTTGTAAATTCAAATCAGCAGAAGATAATTTTATAAACTCAGCAGGTACAAGGGGATATAACAATTTATCTCTGGTGTGTCACACAGATCAAGTCAGATTATATGAGGAAAATCATTTTATCATGGTATTTTTGCTACTTTTCTGATATGAATAGTTTCTATATAACAATATTTTTTCCATCATTATCATGAAAAAATATAAATATATAAAATGACTATAAAATATTGAATTGAAAGACACTGGCTTTATCGCCTGAAAATGTTCAATGAAATCCTGTATAAATACAGTTCTACAACAACAAGAATAAAACTATTTGTTTAGTATTTAGATTTAATTGTGCTAGCGTGTCATCATTAAATAGTTAGAGTGGGCCTGCAAATCTATTTGTTCATGCTTGGCTGGATGCCAAATCTTATTATTTTGATATTAAAATCAACCAAACATATGTTTTCAGAAAATAACCATTAAACTATAAAATTCCTGAAATAATTTTTTCCAGGTTCAATTTTCGAAACTAATTACTATCCATTATCAATTTATAGAAAAATCAAGATGAAAAATTAATACTAGCCAACAGCAGCACGAGTTGACCTGGTACAATATCGGTGGCAAAAACTTATTACTTTGGATTCCAGCAGACTAAGTGTTAAACTATTACATGTAACTTTAAACAACACAATAATAATAAAGTAATGAATAAGGCACTTTGTTGTGTTATATTACTGCCAGAAATTTAACAAGATGATAGATAGGAATCTGTAATAATCATTATATAAATTTTGGTGATAGATCATTTGTTCACAGACTCATAACAGGTGTTGTAAAATTGTTACAGAAAGTGCTCTATAACTAAACAAAAGATTGCAACATAGCACTTTTAAAATATTCATATCACATCAAAATTAGCATACTTGAGTACATTACAAACATAAACATTTTAACAAAATTGTGCATTCTAATAAAAAAAGGAAAAAAACAACAACATACGGCTATACTTGTAATAGGACATGAGTTGTTTTTAAATAATTGATTGCACAATCCTCAAAAACCTGAAATACAATGTATATAATAAATGAAGATTTTCGCAACATTCATAAAAACATACAGATAAAATCTGATCTTTGAAAATATTATCAAAATGGCACCAATTCTTAAATACATAAAACATTTTGATCATTAGATAGTTCATGAACATTTTTTTCAACACACTTTTCACTTTTAAAACATAGATTAAAGTTACATGGGATCATTTCTTTCATACCATATATGGACTTTTTTAATAGCATATATGGATTTCAGTTGATTTTCACAATATATAAATCTATGAAATCTATACTTTGTCAGAATGGAGCAAATGGTATCCAATTGCCAAAACTCACAATTCAAAAAATCTTTTAATTAAATTTTGACTATAATTTATATAAACTGAACATCTGGCACCAGTCCACTGTACATAGAACCAGTCTATAAGAACTAGTCCACATCCAAGCTACTTCGACAATAACCAGTCTCTTGCACATATAATCAGGAGTGAGACTAAAAGAAGGATTGGAGCACCGCACTAAATACCGTATTCCGGTATATACCGGGCAAGGCGCTTGAATCATAAAATGCTAAAATCTTGCCTTTTTACCCAACGGAATGAACTGAAATAGGTCTAATTCATCTTTTCACACCGATTTAAGTATGATAATGAATGAAAAATGTAAAAATCGGCGAAAAAAACGATATTTGTCTATTTTGTGATCATGATTTCTGCAAGCGTCTAGAGGTACTGCTCCAATCCTGTATTGAGCTAAATCCTATAATCAGTCTGAAAAACCAGTCCACAACTTGGTAATTGACACTATAACCTGTCCATCATACATGTATACCAGTCTTTAAACATTTGTATACATCCTGATAACTGTGATTAAAACAGATTGTTGTGCACTGAATCAGTCTATTTTGCTTGGCAAAATTCTTTCTGGTTTAGTTTTCTGTATAAACTTGGCATCATCAATGATAAAACTAAAACAAAGCAAATTTGGTATGATTATTTGTTTCTTTAAAACAACAGATAAGATTAACAATATTGTTATAATTCATGCTGTATTTGTCAGCTTTTTCTAAAATCTTTCAAACTTTCAATTTAAAGAGATTTCTTAATACAACAAACTATCACCCAGTTTGTTTGTTTGATTTGGTTTTACATCACACTGACACAGTATAGGTCATATGGCGACATTCCAGCTTTGCTTGTGGAAAAAGACCTCAGGTGCCCTTCCGTGCATTATTTCAGGCATGAACGGGCACCCGAGTAGATCCACCGACGTTCCGTAAGCTAGCTGGATAGCTTCCTCACATGAAAGATGTCAGGATGCGAACCCACAGGGGTGAGGGGCAAGTTGTTTGAAGTCAACGACCTTAACCACTTGACAACAGACACTCCCTATCACCCAGTCATAGATTATCAAAATTGTGGCTAGATATGCCGATGGTAAATATGTATGTGATCTCAAAACTGCAAAAAAATACATAATATTTTTCATAATGGAATGTTTTTGTAATGCAAACTTTTGGAACAACCCTCGTATATAAAGATTTGGAACCTACCTATACCACAAGAAAGCTAAAGGCCATGTCCCAGCATGCCACAATGCATGGGCATCTAACATCCAGTAGAATGGTGGAAAATCTCCCAGCTCGAGGCATAACAAAAGTTGTATACCAACAATAGAAGCTACAGCCTTCCACACAAACCTGTTCCGTCTCATTGTAAAACACCATATTAGCCAGCCTATCATGTTACATACAGCTGGAAAAAAAAACAGATAGTGTAAAATTAGATTATTATCTACAATTTTGTTTGGCAGTAACTATCAGAAACTGTAAAAGCAAACTGCCAGGCTTTCCTGCAATAAACCCTATATCTCACTTAATGTTACTTGTTTTAGATAGAGTTAAAAGTTTGTCCTATATCCTTGCAAATGATTAAATCTAACATCACAAGGCATTTAAAATATTTCTTATGCTCCTAGAGTTTCTGCGCACTGTGCAAGCAGGAAATTCACAGTACTGGTAAGAAAAATATTAAGGCTATTAAGCATATGTTTGCAAATGCATTCATTCTTGCAATCCATTAAACACCAACACTAGCCATTTTATATTGTACTAAAGTTTAATATAGATATCCTATTTCCCTTTATTTTAATGTAAAAATTGAATAAACACCAAAAGTAACATTTATTTATTGCACAAATGAAGCTTATTTGGGATAAACACTTCCAATGTGTGACATAACAAGAGCTTTCAGTAAGACTGCTTGACTATTCTCAGTGCTCTATAGTAAATCAAGAGCCTGGATAATGAAGAACTTACAAAGTTCAAAAAGGGCCATAATCACATGTTATGAGTTATGGGCCTCAGATAGTTCTTGCAACTTATATTAATCACTTTCAAGTCCGCTTCTTGGAACCAACTAGTACTGGTGTCATATGAAGAAAGATGGTTGTGACACAGTTAGGTCTCGAACCCATGATCTACAGGTTGAGAGGCAGACACCTTAACCACTACACTACCAGTCACATAAGTGAGTGAAGTTTCAACCCATTCCCTTCAGTAGTATAGGAAAACCTGGCACTTGCATGCAAAAACATAACCAAAGTGTGCCCCCAATGCCTGGGTGAGAACTTTAGGGATATAACTCATTACAGGACTGGTGCAGTACCTCTAGATGCTTGCAGAAATCATGATCATAAAATAAACAAATATCGTTTTTGTCGCTGATTCTTACATTTCTCATTCATTACCATAGATAAATCAGATCGGTGTAAAAAGATGAATTAGACCAGTTCATTCCTTTGCGTAAAAAGACAAGATGTAAGCGCCTTGTCCGGTATATACCAGAATATGGTATTTAGTGTGATGCTCCAATCCTTTTTTAGTCTCACTCGTACTTTATAGCACTCTATAATCTTTGAATAGTCAAGTTAAAAATAAAGATCTTACCAACTCCTATATTAACTTGCATGTTGTAGCCATAATCAAACTTGTTAAATGTTAGGTATGACACATGTTGAATAAATAAAGTCACACAAGCTAGGCCTACAAGGGCTGGTCTGTACATCGTCCCAGTACCTAGTACCCTAAAATAACACCCACTTATGTAGAAATAAGACTAAAAATATCATAATATATATCTAAACATGAATGCATTAATATCCTAGACTGACCATCTATCAATAATGCTAACACTGTCTAATTCTTTGGATTTTTTTTTCTTTTTAGATAAGCGACTCTCTAAACTTGAAGGTAATTTTAATTTTTGTTACATCAAATATTGAGATTGAATAAGAAATATTTAGATAGAGAATATCTGACAGTGTTTGGTTATACAGGAACTTTTAAAGTAAAGACCATCCTGGCAAAGTGGTTAAGGTAACAAGCTTTAAAATGACTTGTCCCTCACCAATTATGGTTCAAACATTGTATCTCCATTTGGTTTATCTCAAGAGAAGGCTATCCAGCTAGCTTAACAAGCATTTGTTTTTAGCTTTACTAAGGTAATATATTTACAGGGACATTTGGGTTATCTCAAAAGAGGCTATCCGGGAAACGGACAAAAGCCCTCCCGGACAAAAGCCCTCCCGTCCAAAAATGATAAGGCGGACAAAAGCCCTCCCGTGAAAATGACAAGGCGGACAAAAGCCCTCCCATGAAATTGACAGGGCGGACATAAGCCCTCCTGTGAAAATGACAGGGCGGACAAAAGCCCTCCCGTGAAATTAACAAGGCGGACATAAGCCCTCCCGTAACAAAATAGATATGTATGTTACATACCTGTGGGTTTTTTTTTCAACGCACTTAAGATATTAAATTTGTAACATATATATTTGTTGTTGTTTTCTATTGATCTAAGTATTTTTATGAGCTTATTTTTTAGAACCACCTTTCATTCAGAATATACCTTTCAGAAATGTTTAACGAGGTAATATTTTCACACGAATATCGTTTAAAACAAAGTCACTTTCTAAAGTATTTGACTCATTACAAGGCACTTGGACTTTTAATTTTAGTTAATTTTAGCTTCTTTTCATCATTTAATACTCTATTAATCTAAATTTCTCATATGAGTAATTCTTCATTTCTACGTGAATAAATATGCACTTACAGATTTTAGTACTTATTATTCAGATGTCAGGAATGTACTCAAGCTCATACAAACATGCTTATGAGAATGGAAAACAAAAATATTTATGATTACAATTTTAATATGTGGAGTGCATTAAATTGAAAATACAAACTATTCAATGTACAGATATGTATTTGCTGCGGGAGGGCTTTTGTCCGCCCTGTTATTTTCACGGGAGGGCTTTTGTCCGCCCTGTCATTTTCACAGGAGGGCTTTTGTCCGCCCTGTCAATGTCACGGGAGGGCTTTTGTCCGCCTTGTCATTTTCACGGGAGGGCTTTTGTCCACCTTGTCAATTTTGGACGGGAGGGCTTTTGTCCGGGAGGGCTTTTGTCCTACACTCAGGCTATCCAGCTAGCTTATTAAAATTTGTGTTAAGCTTTACTCAGGTGCTTACAAAATACATGGAGGGGAACTTATGGTCTTCCTCCACCTGACTAGTGCTGATAATAAAACATCAGATGACTTTCATTGAAATAGTGGTAGAAGAGAAGTACTCCTTTATTTCTTAAAGCTTTATAGATATAAAATGTTTATTCAAGAGCAACATACCTGCATGCCAGAGTAAATGTGTTGTAAAGCACTATTGAAAAGGCACAAAAATAATCCATTTTCTGAAAAATTAAAATGCAAACTGTTCAAATATTTTAATTAGCAAAAGCCTGACATAAAAAGACTTGCAGATTTTCTATTGAGCTAATAAGTGAAAAACGCAAATTCAAAGTGAATATTTGCTAGTTTCTAGCCCCAGTAAATAATTTTGCTTGTAAGTTTTAATCCTAATTTTTATGTCTGTTTATTTTTTGTTCTTTTTTGTGAAACTAAAAATGCACCATAGGACACAAATGCCCCATATTCCATTCTTTTGACAATCTATGGAATAACAACAGGACTGTTTGAAAGCAAAACTGACAAGACAAGGGCAAATCTATCTGTGCCCATAAGTACATGTAGGGGCATACAAATGTTAAATAAATATAGAATTTGAAAGCAACACATACAGGATAAAGTAGTAGTACAACCTACAATTTAGTTTCTTTTTTCACAGCTGATTAAGTTCATGACTATTAAACTAAAAAAGAAAGACTTTCTCAGCTTGCATGGTTTTACTTCCTAATAAGACACCACCATGCCTGGGTGGGTGAATTTATTTTTGCCTGACTGCTTTACATACAAGATATAGAAATATACCAGCAGCATACCTCTGTGAAGTCTGTATCTTTACAATGAAATATTGTAGACCACGTCCATGCATTCATGGCTGTCTGTATAAATATAAAAAACATACACTCTTATCATAATAACATGACTCTGTATAGCATATTTCAAAATTATGTACTGTCACGGATTTATATTACAAGGATCGGACACTTTCGTTTAGCTCAAAGTCCCGTCGCGCGCATGCGCGGAATCGGATAAAGGTGGACAGAATGAGATGGCGGAACGCTCGGAGTGTGAAATATGACACATTTTCACAAGAGTGTGTGGTGTTATTGCAGCTCTGTGAAAAATTATACCAGATGAATGTATTGATACAGTATTATTTTGTGCAGCTAATGTATAAATATATGAAAATATGCCGATAGAACGCTGCGACGCTTAGTTAAAAAGTATCTAATTTAAAAAATATTCGCCGATTGTTTAGGCATACTCTCTACACTTTGACGCCCTTTTACGTCAAGCATAGATTATTACCGCGAGTCAGATTAAGATAATTATTTTTAACATGGTTTAATAGTGGCATTGCGAAAAAATGTTTCTTGATTGCTAAAATACTTTTAAAGAAATTCATGTTTGAAATGTGTCTTTATTTCTGTGAATTATTTCCAAATGATTTGTATATGTTTTATTTGATCTACCTGTATATTAGTATAAATATAGTAAATATTCTACTAATTAGTGTATTAAATATATTTTCAGATCATTCTAGACATTCGTTCATATATAGATGAATTCATTAGATTGGCAAGGAAGAAACTTTTATTGGCATACAGAACAGCTGTTTTATATATTTTTTTTGAAACAGATTTTTTTCATAGTTATCCTTCACAATTCACGTCAAATGATTTATTTGTCATATGTTTATTTTCATTATTTTTCAAAGAAAGGACTATACAAATTAAGTTGTTTATTTTCAATTTCATTTATACGTTAATAAAGAAAATAGATTTACATTGTATTTATATATATCCTCTTCAGAATCATTTTCTTACCACACATGCCATGGACTGTAGTTAAAGACCGCACACATACATTTTCTAATGAAAGAAGACAATTTATAAAACCATATTTTTATAGACGTCCTAATATGTATAAATTAGAACAACTTTTTACAATGAAAGATTCGCCTGCATTTTATAAACTATGCAAATTCTTAATGATAATTATAAGAAATATAAGAATGTAATCAAATATTTATGTTTTCATTTTAAAGTCATTTTTTATTTTGTAATGTTCTGAGATATAGTTTTGTTTTAATGATATTCACTTACCACTTTCTTACTATACAGCAAAGGTCCTTTATACCTCACATATACTTTTATTTTCATTTCTCATAAGACTAAATTTTTGCTGTACTTTTATAGTATTAAACGATTAATCACTGGTTTATTTCATGAATCATCTTTCAATTTTAAAATTTGCTTTTTAGAAATAAATACAAGTATAGTGAATAACATTTTTTGTATGGAAGTTTAAAATATTACTTTATTTATTTTACAACTTTTATGACAAATTATATCACATTTATAGCTACATTCTCCTAGTAATAAATATCTTACATTCTGTTCAAGCAATATTTAAATGTTGTAAAATTCAGATTTGCATTTTCTTAAGAAGTTAAAAAAAAAAATAGTTTCCTAAGCAAAATATGCATATAATTTAATAATATGTAATAGATATGTTGATATTGTTTAGTAATTATAGTCTGATCTCAATTTGTATAAATGCCTCGTTAAATATTTTGACATTATCCTCATATTACATGTTGTATGCATGTTTGAGTGAATAAAAGATGTGTTGTTGTTGTTGTTGTTACAACATATACATTCAATTTCTATTTGTTTTTAAAGATTGAGTGTTGAAATTATCACGTGTAACCTGATAATGAAAGTTTGTAAACAAAGTTTTTCAATTATCACTTGTTACCTGGTAATTAACCCCCTTCAAAAGTGATTAAACTTCAAAGAAATTTAAGCGTTGTGTAAAAAATAATCAACAGTTACTATTATTTCGTATAATACTGACTCAAACTGTAAAGATTTTTATTGTTTTGTTAACGTTACATTAAAAATATCAGAAATATCTTTCTACAGACATTCAAATAAAAAGAATAATCAAAATATACGAGTGAAATAATTAAAATATACGAGTGACATTAAAAAGGCCGGAATCGAGACAGCCACACGAGAAAACTTTACTGTTACGATGATTGTCTACTTCACTGCACCGACATTTTACAGATTTACAAAAAAAATAATAATGATATAAATGATGAAGAAAATTTAAATATCCTATGAAAATGGCAATACATGTATTGACAATATCAGCAATATCTTGTATTTAAAAAAATAAATAAATTTACTTTACGCGTTGAGCGAATTGTAAAGCCCGCAATACATTACCCGTAAAACAATAGTGCGTCAATTAATATGACTACATAACCAAATAAATCTTAAATATTGCATCTTTGATCAACTGTGAATAACTTCCATCGGCTTCTTTTTTATTTTGAAATTGAATTTATTATGTTACCGTAATAATAAATTTCAAATATCTGCTTTTTATATAAAAATGTAAATTTACCGCAGATTTCGTCAAGTTAATTTCTTAATCGTCGTTGCAGACAGATAGTCTGTATCTTAAAAAAATAAATTAGATTTTTAAATTAAACAAGCATTTTTCTTGAAAATTAACTTTAAATTTCAACAAGATTGCATTTGAGAAAAATGCTATGCCACCGCATGGTTCAAATTTCATAGCTGTACATCAAAGGACAAGAAAGTAGGTCACATCATCAAAATCTAGGTCAAAGTTCAATTTTACAACTAAAACTGTGCACATGGTCAAAATGTCATTGCTGTACATCAAAGGACAAGAAAGTAGGTCATTGTCCCCTTGGGCAAGGCATAATTTTGACCCAAGGGTTTAATAACAATCTTGATACAGGTCCACAAAACAACATTTCAAGTCAAATATCTAAGCTATAGCTTTCTCCCATTCAGAAAACATTTGTTTTATTTTCTGTTTTTACTACGTGTACATAATGAGAATCACTGTCCCCGGGCAGGGCCAATTTTTGACATTTTAACAACTTTGGTAGAGGACCTATAGATGATATTAATAATTATATATCAAACATCAAAGCTCTATGCCTTGAACCTTCAGACAAAAATTTTTTTTTTCACTATATGTACATAATGAAAATCAATGACCCCTGGGGCGGAACCAATTTTGACCCCAGGGCTATAATTTGAACAATCTTGCTAGAGGTTCACTACACAATGTTTCATGCAAAATATCTTAACTTTATGCTTTGTAAATTTAGAGAAGATGATTTTTTTAAGTTTTAACTATATACATATAGGATAAACTTATGGCTCCCAGGGCGGGGCTTATTTTGACACAAGAGGCAAAATTTGAACAACTTTGGTAGAGTACCTTTAGATGATATTTTTAACAAATATTAAAGCTCTAAGCCTTGTACCTTCAGATAATAAGATTTTTTATTTTTTACTATTATATACTTGAAATCAATGACCCCAGGGCGGGGACAATTTTGACCCCAGGGGCTATATTTGAACAATCTTGCTAGAGTTTTACAAACAATGTTTCATGCAAAATATCTAACCTTTAGTATTTGTCAATTGCTTATAAGGAAAACCAATGACCCCTTTTGACCCAGGGCTAATAATTTAAAAATCTGGGTAGAGTCTACCAAGACAATGCCTTATGCAAAATATCTAAGCTCTAAGCCCTTTTGGGTCTTTTACAAGAGGTGTTAAAGTTTTTACTATATGTACATATAGCGAAAATTATGACTGGGGCGGGGCCGATTTTTGACCAAAGGGCTATAATTTGAACATCTGGTAAGGGCTATAAGATGATGCCTTATGCAAAATATCTAAGCTCTAGGCCGTTTTTGGGTTTTACAAGAAGGTTTTTAAGTTTTACTGGTATGTTAACATAGTGAAAATCAATGACCCCGGGCGGAGCAATTTTTGACCCCAGGGCTATAATTTGAACAATCTTGTTAGAGGTCTACCAGACAATGCCTTATGCAAAATATCTAAGCTTCTAAGCTTTTGGTCTTTAAACAAGAAGGTGTTTTAAGTTTTTTACTATATGTACATGAGTGAAAATCATGATCCCCGGGGCGGGGCCAATTTTGACCCCAGGGCTATAATTTGAACAATCTTGTTTTAGAGGTCTCGCAGACACCATGATGCCTTATGCAAAATATCTAAGCTCCAGGCCTTTTGGGTCTTTACAAGAATATTTTTTTAATTTATTCTTATAATTCCTTTTGGTTGCCATGGCAACCAGATTTCTGCATGGAATGAAATTCTTTGAACAACTTTGGAAGCCCTTCACCCAAGGAACAATCCTGCCAAGTTTGGTTGAAATTGGACTAGTAGTTTTTCACAAGAAGATTTTTTAAGTTCACTATATAATCTATATAACACACACACAAACACACACACACACACACATACATACACACAGGTGAATCGCTATATGCCACCGCATCGCAGATGCTGCGGTGGCATAAAAATCGGATAATAAATGGAAAAGCTATGTGGTATTTTGTAAAGTAGGTATCCGTTGCGAACGGGAATTTGCGCTTAGCGCCGATAAATTATCGATCGATGTACCTTTATCGGGTGCACGACAAGATATTTAAGCATTTATATAGGGTTAACTGGAAGTGTCCGATCCCTGTAATATAAATCCGTGGTACTGTGTACTCTTTCAATGATAATAAGAAAAATTGGTATGTAATTTACATATATTAATGTCATATACAAAATTGAAAACATTAAAATTTCTATGCCATTAATCATATTAAAACTGTAGTTTGGCAGCCCAAATTACCGGTATAATATATCCATAAAATTTTGCATCAGTTCAGAAAACAAAAAATTGGCTAAAAACTTTTTTAAATAGATTTAGCATAAATAAAATTATCAGAAAACATAGGGTTTAAGAATTTTTTAAATACCTCTGGATAAAAATCACTTTATAAAAGACATCATTTTTCTTTTCCCTTTACAGAATTATGTTGATCACTCAGTGTAAAAAAATAAAAAAACAATTTTTTCTATAATAAATTTTACCAAAAGCAAAATAATATGATTTAAATTCATTTTTAAAAATAGTCAGAATTTTTATTCCCAACCCGTCAAATAAAAAAGAACTGCAAAAAGCTATTTTCTAATTTATATTCGTATAATTTTTTTGGGAAAAAAATACAGTTATTTTTTTTGATAAAAAAAACTAAAAGACAAAATTACAATAGAGCCAGCCCAAAAATATAATGTGTGAGGAGGACCAGTTTTTCCGGAGTAAAAAATACTGAATAGCAAATATTAAAAACAGAGAATATCATAGAGGCTGGTTCCTGTACTCCATACAACCTTACAAACGGCCACTGAAATACAATGGTAATACTCGGTGAAACAAAGCAGTTATACAATGTATTGCCTTGCATGTGCCAACAGTATAAAGAATAGGTCTGCTTGCACTTTTGTTCAGTTTCATCAATAAATTTGGCTGCTATTCTGTTATTTTAAGAATTATTTACATACAATGTAGATAAACGAGGATAAATACATTTCTTATTTCACATGAATAATCATATATGAAGTATATCCAGGTATGTATATTAACATATATACCTGATATATCTAAATAAGAATAAAAAAATGCTGCTAGTGATACTTCAGTAATTATTTCATTCCATATGGTATTGCCACATTGACTCTGAAAGTTATGTCAAACACATTATATACAATATAAACAATAATACCTTGCCATGGAACTGTGGAATTTTGAGTCCATCTTTCTGGAAGGCATCCACTGTGATCCACATACACATGTACTTACATTCATCCTCACAACTCCATCTCAGTAAACTATGACTGAATGGCTGTTGTTCCCTGTAAAATAACATATACATATACCAATAAAATACCAACCTATTGTCATCAATTTGGCAGTCATTTTTGTTTTGAGAAAGTTAGTCTGTTTTCAAGAGTGACATAAAGCCTAGAAGTTTGGGAGCCATTAACTCCTGAATTTGGCTTCTGACTTCCAAAATATAACCCTTTTCCTTCTTTACCAATTTCAAAATACTTCCGATGGCAGACATTTTGCAGTCTCTGTCTTCCAAATTTTTCAAACTTAATGGAAGCCCTGCAATATGTATCTTGGTTTCTTGTCCCTATTACAATTCTAGGAGTAAAATATAAATGAGACATAAAATTTATAATGTTGAAAAAAGAAAAAAAGTCAAATTAAAAGTAAACATAACTGAAAAGAAGAAATAGGGTTCACAGTACCTGAATATCTTTAACTGTGTACCAGTGCAATTTGCATTTTCACAATGATGGTTGCATCTCTGATACACATATGACCTGTCCCCAATGGAAGCTGTTACTTTGGTTACAATCCAAACGAGCAACAGTAAGCTAATTTTCAAAGGCACAGAAGTCGGAAAACCTTTCATCGCTAAGTCTTAATCTTCCTCAAATATGGATTCTGAAAAGTAAATTCATTTTACTGTTAACTCTATTACAGGCAATATTTTCATAAGTTTACTAACTTGGGGGCTGACATCAATTGCTATCTATCTTCCAATAATGTTTAACCCCTCATGGGGACATAGACATGTATGTCATGTGTGCTAAAATGGTTAATGGCAGGGCAAATTCTGGAAAGGACAATGCCGCATCATCAATATGCCTGGCCAATTGTAGGCCCTATCCCTGACCTTTTTAGCTCAACTTCTGTCATATACTCTGAATTTCAAATTCATGTGCGAGGCAGCTATCTAGCTTATATATCTGGGTCCCACATGTCTCGTAACTCAGGCCTGTTAATGCTGTTTTTGATAAATGTAAAAAAGGGCACCTTCTTGTGAGTTCTGATATTTTTCTTTTCAGAAATGACGGAAATTGATTCACAATCATTTATATAATATATTAACATTTTACTTGAAAGATAATGCAGTTTATATGGCTTTAATATAAATCTCTGGTTATATTGTTAAGGCCCATAAGGAAAGGTTCATTCTACTATCCTCATGTGTGTGGGTTGTGGGGCCTAGGGGTTGGTCCAATCAACGCGCCAAGTTCTTGTGAACATTGAAACATATCAAATATATCCAACTACAATAAGGGTTTTGCTTTGCAATGTTTGTATTAGATCTCGGACCAATGCACAATTTAGATAATTCAATTTATTCTCATTGTTTTCTTTACCTCTCCTTTGGGTTCAATTGTTCATCTTCATTTTATGTTTTATTATTTAACTTTACGTTTGTATTAAAGATAGCAAAATGAATGAAATTGTTTTTATAACGTTTTTGAAACAATAATGCTCTACTTTTCATTTCTTTTACCGCTGACCAGTTGTTACTGATACCATTTCGGCATTTTCAACTTTGGAGTATTCCGTAGTTTAAGGTAACAGTACACTAGTTTTAAAAAAATTATTATGAGGTTGAACACCACTAAACATATCAAAAACCAATCGCATCTCTCGGCCCTTACTACGGTGATAGGGCGATTACCACAACTTTTCCGCGCAACGTCAAATTATCGTCCTTCTGACCGAGACACCGTATATTTATGGATAAAATATTAATGGCGGGATAAACAAATTCCAGGTAATAGCTTACAAAATATCTTACTGCTGGACATTGCAAGATTATTCCAATTGTTTAAGTATTCCATCGAATTTTTGAGACAATTTATTGTTAATCTAGCACAATACAATTCACACAAAAACACATACTTCGAAGAAATAGTGTTTACAAAAGATCGTGTGTACCTCAACATGACTCGTACTTGTCACAAAAACATGTGTTATAACGACGATGTCTTTGTTCTATGACCTAACGAGCTCGTATATTTATTATGGTTAACCCTAAGTTCAAGTTCAATTCAAAATTGTGTGTTTCTATCGTAAATTTCAGGGAATATTTGTTGAAAAAAGGCCTACTGACCCGAATAATGGAGCACCGTACAACACTGAATTCAAACACCGCATTCTTTTTCCGTTAGACCGATAAATACTGGAACCGTCTTCTTTTGAATTATACAATAATCTTACAAATATAGTTTTATAATAACTTTTATTTGATGAAAGTTTGATGAAAGATTGTTTACTTGCTGTTATGTTATGTTGCTGTTATATCATACGTTATGTTATGGAACATTTCTGAAGGTCTGATCTGTGTTAATACTACCAGTTAGATAAGTGCAATGGTATCTATATATGGATAAGGATGTCATTTCCTTTTCGAACTTATTCAAACTGATAAACCCCACAAGGAGATATTGAAGTTCTTGGCAGACTATACCATCAAACAACATCGAGAAACAAAAGGAATGAACTATTTGTAAATGGGAATTTCTTATTGCATACTAATTTGATAAAGTTGCAAAAGTCATAACACAAATTTTCATGGTGTAGTTTTTGCAGGAACCCGGGCAATATTTCCATAATCTCTTCAGTCATCGTCTCCAATGTGCTTTTTTTAAACAATCTTTTGCGAAAGTTTGATTTTATATTCTTTTTCTTTTGTGGTGCGTTACGCATATCAGCCTGAAATACAGGGAGGCGCTGATCCATTGGCGTACTGCTGATATCAGAAGACTTAGTTGGGCGCTCTCCAGTTGCTGCAGTATCTGCAGCTTTGCCAATTTCGCACGTTGCTTTGGCTTTTTCAGACATAGGTTTGAACGTCTTCTTTTTCTGAAAGCAAACATTAATATCAAAAATCAATGGTGCTAAAAAGACAGAAAAATGCGGTGATTTTAAGGAGGAATAATGCGGTGCCCTAATCTTATGATTGACAAAGTTGTGCGATGCCTTAAAATACACACGTGGACACATAAAAATCATTCCAAATATACAAAAAACGGGTTATTTATGTATTGTAACTTGTTCATACGACAAAAATGTACATATTTATATTGTATTTTGACCAGTTATATGAACTGAACGGACTAGAAATACGTTATATTTCGTAATCAAAGCAAGATTTTTTTCAGTATGACCTAAATGTTTTCACTATCCTGACTTAATTAATGAAGCATTTTGCATGTAGTAAAGATAAATAAGTTTCAAATTAAATGGCACATTCGATGAAAAAGAAAAAATGATGATTTTACCTTGTTTTGAGCAAATTATATGCTGTTTTCGTCTCGGCTACAGGCTTGCTGTCCATTTTGTACCACAGAAATATATATACGGTGTCTCGGACAGAAGTAAGATATTTTGACGTTGCGCGGAAAAGTTGTGGTAATCGCCCTATCACCGTTTTTGTTTCCGTCAAAGTTCGGATCACAGCATCCCTTCTAAGTTCTTAAAAATAACCCGCTCTGGGGCCTTTACGTACAAGGGTCGGAAGTAGCTCAAATGACGTCATCTATCTTACAACACAGAAAAAACTTTAACGGTCGACTTTCATCTTTGATTGGCATATAAAATCAAAGCACAGAAGGCACTGAATTTGTTTGGGTCTCAGAATGTCAGAAAGGTGAAGGTTGTGAGATTATTAACCAATTTGTTTTTGTATAGTGCCACCAATGCTTTCCAGTGTTTTAATTCTAGTAAACTGGCTATAAGACAAATTGCAACACTGATATTCAATTCATTGTTTAAACAATTTGAAAAAAAAAACTGGGATTTGAACTGCAAACCCATCGGCCACGGTGAAGTTATATGTAAACGGCCTAAAGAAAACCATATAATTCTAAATTAGGGTTTGTAACCCTTATTTTTTCGACGCTAACTGTTGTTTAATACTAATGGGTGTCTGTCTTAATTTTTAGTTTTTGACTGTGTTAATTTTGTAAGTTTTTTTTTTACTTTGTAAATTGCAAATTAAAATGATGCACTGAAGAAAGTATCTTGTTTAATGATAGATAGAATGAATTATATGAATGTTCAGTATGTGTGTTAAGATATATGTTAAAATTGTGATAACCATTTAATCATTTCTTTTACATGTTTTATTTTCTTCGATTGATATGTGTTCTTTTGTGTGTGTGTGTGTGCGTGTGTGCATGTGTGCGTGTGTGTTTCTATGTTTCTTTGTGTGTTTTTTTATTATTATTATTAGAAGGCCGCTTTGAAAATAAGGTTAACAATCGTATTATTTTTTAACGTTTTATTCTGTAAATAAATTTAGTTTATTTTTATTATTTTTTTTCATTTGCTGTGATTAAGTAAATTTTTTCATAATTGATGAAAATTTACGCTTAAGAAAAAAAAATTTTTTTTCTATCAAAAACCCAGGGAGACTTTAAACTTCATGAACCCCAATATTTCATCTCCGGAATTCAAAGTTGAAATCTTAAATTTTGAAATGAAGTCGTAAATTCGAAAATTGAAATTTTGAATTGATGAAGTTAAATCGTTAATTCGTGAAGTTGAAATCGCGAACTCGTGAAGTTGAATTCGTGAAATTGAAATCGTGATCAAATAGTGAATTCGTGAAGCTGAACTTGAGAATTCAAGAAGTTTAAATGTCAGCACTGGTCTTTTGTAAAATCGTCTTAAAAACCTTATAGCTAAATTAAGGGACTTCACCGAGATTTGTTTCCAAGACGGGACTAAAAATAGTTGTTCGAGATAAATGTTCCCTTTGATGCAGCCAAGATCAGTAACGTGAATGCAAAATTTCAGATTTTTCGCTCAATCCGCTTTAGTGACAAGAGCCACCGCCAGGCGGGGACAACGCTCAACTTTTTTTACTTTTTTTCCAAAAGCAAACAAATAAAAGGTTGAAGTTTAAATCTTTGATGACAAAAGTTGTTTTTTTGTTTAAATAGGTCTTATTATTTTGTACAAGTATGAATCATTTTCATAAATAGATGATAAAGTTCAGAAAATACCCAAATAGGTGATAAGAAAATAAGTAAAATTCAATAATTTGACCTTGACGGTCAAGGTCAAGTAAAGTTCACAGTCATTCTAAATTATTCAACGAGTATGTTTAGAAACAAGTCTTGTTTTATCCACGTATAAATCAAATCCGAACATGACTACTTAACCAAAATTCAATAATTTGACCTTGGCCGTCAAAGTTGTTTTAAAGCTCGAGGTCAAAGTCCGTTCATCCTTTAAAAATCAACCAAATCAGCCGGGAATGTCGAATGCAAAGTCTATCGAAATTTTTTATTTATTATACGATGTTTATTCAAAAATCCCATGAAAGTTGAAAAATCGGCGTTTGTACAAAAAAATCGTTGCTGTTTTATGGCTCTTTTATGCCACAGGCATGATTGCCTTCATGAAGCAATACCAGTTACTTGTATCGCACTCGTAGACGGATTTCACTTTGTATTTACATTTTGAATTTGTTTGAGTGGCGTGAAAGCTGGATCTTTCTTATTTCAAAGGTATCGTCTGTTTCGCTTCCCAAGCGTGAGGTTTGACTTCGTTTATTTTTCATGATTCGTTAATAAAGTCATTACCTAGTATGTCAACTTTTATTATACCTTTGGTTCTGCAGCATACTGTTGTGAAATATAAAACGTTGTACAGACAATCATGGAAGCTTGAATTGACGAATTGACCCCCTAGAAGCCATAAGCTTTCCGGGTTTTCGTAGTGTTTGATATACTATAACTGTTTTATCGCATGATAAACATTAATAAAAAATTAATTAGACATAACAAATCTTTATACATGTATATATAATATTTGCTATAATTCTTGTAGCTATAATCATCAGTCGAACAAAAGAGGTAGCATTGACTTAAGTTCTATTGTTAAATAAAACAGAGAATATTATTTTCCAGGTGTCAGTTCCTATATACCATCTGCCGGTGATGCTGTTCTGTTTAATTTTACTCAAGGATGACTTAAACAGCAATTATTACTTGAACATGAGTAAACTCTTGAATCCATGCCGTAAAAGACTGAAATGTTACTTTTAGATTGTCAATAGAATGATAGAAGTTGTGTATTCAAAATACATGTTCTCTACCGTTTACGTCAGTTCTATGTTACTGCTGCATATTTGGAGGTTTAAATAAATATAAGGTAAGTGCATCTTTTATTATTTATGCTAATTTTTGTTCATTATTTTTTTCTGATATGTTGAATAATCATCGTATTTTTACTATTAACAAGACCATGTCTACTTGAACTGGTTAAAAACATGGCAGGCATCTAGGTCAGGTCATGACAGACAAATATTTTGGGATACATTGTTTATTGCACTCAATTTATATTTGTCACGGTGTCGTATAACGTAGAAAGAACTCACGGATGTTACATACTTTTAATATACAAATACAAACACACATGTGAACGAGTTGAATACCAAAACTGAACTCTCCTACTCTGACATTTGAGAATAGTATATATAATATCAACCTGTCCTAAGGACATTTTATAATGTATATCAATACACACGTTTTAGAGTTACATATATAAATCATCTTGACATAA